GCTTTTATCTAAGGTGAGATCATTTTTATCTTTTAAAAACTTTGAAAGGACAATCCATGCTTTTGTTACATCCCAGCTGGACTACTGTAACTCCTTAAATGTTTGAGTTAACCAGACCTGCCATGCAAGACTGCAGTTGGTCCAAATGCTGCAGCTCGTCTTCTAACACGAACTAAAAGACTTGATCATATTTCCCCGGTGCTTGCCTTCACTTCAGAATTAATTTTAAATTTGATTGTTAACTTACAAAGCCCTGAATGGACAGGCTCTCAGGTATTTTTCTGACCACCTTCTAGGTCTCTTAGATCAGATGATCTTTTGCTTTTAGCCATACAAAGGTCAAAGCTGGTTCACAGAGGTGATTGAGTGTTTGGGATCGTAGCTCCTAAACTGTGGAATAATCGATGCCTACACATCAGAAAGACTCCTACTGTCAATCGTTTTAAATCTTATCTTAAAATACATTTGTATTCACTGGCTTTTAATAGAGTATGAGAGTTATTTGGTATTTGATGTTTGGTACTAATATTATTTAAGTTATTTTACTAGTTAGTTTGTATTTTTGTAAAGCACTTTGATCAACATTGCTGTTGTAATGAAATGTGCTATAGAAATAGATAAATGATAAAATGTAAAGAATCTAAATTAAGTAAAGTCACAAACTCATAAAAACTCAACTCAACCAAAAGGGTTGGTGCTACGCTGCTTCAGCTTATGAACTTTAATCAGAACAATAATAAATAAAAACATAGTGGAAAGAAATTTTATTATTGCTGCCAATATAAAGTTAATAGAACCAAATTTCAACAACACCAAATGCTGTCAGTTTAAGAAAAATCTACATTAGACCAAATTTTTTACTATTATTTTATTCATAAAGAGAGCTGAGTCATCAAATTCATAATATTTATGATGAGAAGACAAACCTGTTGATTTTTGGACTCCAGCTGAATCTTCAGGATCTCTGCTGCTCGTTTCAACTGCTGGAGCTGATGGATGGTTTCAGTTTTCTCCGTCCACTGCAGGTGAAATGTTACATGAAGAAAGAGAAGAAGGAAGAAATGCTCCCTACTGAGATCAACAGGAGACTTTCCTAAACTGGAAAACTGAAACTTGTTGCTTCTAACATGTGAATGACAATCAGATCAGGAATGATCCTTTTACACAGCAGTGAGTCTGCTCCTCTCCATCAGCCTACGACAGCAGCACCATCACACAAAGCCAACAAATCATGTATGTAAAGTGAAGCAGCAGCTTTAGTTTAATGAAAAGCTGAAACAGAACTGATCCTCTACATGATCACAAAAACCAGAAGTGAAGTTTTTGCTTTGACTGTCATGGTCCTGAGTCAGTGACACAGTGGTTCGAGGTCTCTGGACTTTATAATGTTTGAACATTCTATGTTGGTTTCATTTATATTATGCTTTAAGTGTGTTTAGGTTAGAATAATCCCTCTCTCTGTGTTCCCCGTCCTCTTGTGTCTAGTTCTGTTTGTTATTTGTGTCTCAGTCTTGTCTCCATACTTATTTGCTTATTACTTATACTTATTAGGTAAGTATAAGTAATACTTATTAGGTCACATCTCTCCGTCTCATTTGCCCTCAGTGTGTCTCAGTGTGTGTTTCTCATGTTTCCCGTTTTATTTCAGTCTCCTGTCCTGTGTGCATCATGTCCAGCTGTGTTTTTCGGGTGTCTCCTCTCTGCCCTGATGTCCTCTTGTGTATGATGTATGTGTCTCCGTCTATTTGGTGTTGTGAGCTCGGTCTAGCTGTGTGTCTTGTCTGTTTTGAAAGTTTCTGTTGTAGTATTTCAAAGAGTTAGTTCCCAGTTCATGTTCACGTCACCTGTTTTCTGGGAATTTAGCAATAAAACTATTTCTAGCGCAGTTTTGCCTGAGAGTCCACAACTCTGCCTCCCACAGAAAATTTACCATGACATTGACTGATGTTTGGTTGTAGACTGCCTCAAGATCATGTATGGATGATATATTTAGACCCTTAGATTTAGATTTGTTTATTTTTTGTTTATACTGTAAAGTCTGCTGGTGAGTAAGTACTGATGGACACTTTTATTCTATTCAATTATAGAAAAATGGAAAGACAAACCTCATGAGTTTGGGGCTGCAGCTGTTTCTTCAGGTCTTCTGCTCTTTGTTTCACCTGCTGGAGCTGTTTGATGTATTCATTATTCTTCTTCCACTGCAGGTGAAATGTAGCATGATGTTAACAACATTAAGTGTTTTTTATTTATTTTTTACTTATATATAAGGAACCCCATTAGCTTCCACAACAGTGATTGCTGGTCTTCGTGCACAATGCATAAAAATCAAAAACCCTCTTACAGTATTTACAATAATTAAAAACTGTAAATAGATTTTTAATTTTTTAAAAAATTAGGAATAGTAGCTAGTTCTCTAATTGCATAAGGAAGTTTATTCCACTTAAAATATGCTCTCAATATAACGATTTTTTAAAACATTGGTTTTGGATCAAGGAATTACTAAATTGCAGTTTGTTACACACTGTGTAGCATAATTGTGTATTTCATACGATACTGCAGCTGAGCAGAGAAAAAATGTGTTGTTTTTAACAGTGTTGCTTTCTTTATAAATAAAAAGAAGCCAAAGTGTAATTTAGTTTGTACTGGAAGCCAAAAACGTTTATTATCTATTCGACTGTGCATTAATAACATCTTATTTAGAAGGAGCATTTCCTAACCACAGCTATGGCCTGTCTCATTTTCTTAATGACAGAGTCTATATGTTGAGACCATGAGGTGGTGATTTAT